GCTGCCTGCCCCCCCTCCCCTGTTGGCCAGCGTTGGGGCCTTGCTCGCAGCTTGCTTGCACCTTCTGTGGAGACAGGGCGGCTGCCTCCCTGCTTTGGCCAGCCATGGGCCCCTCCAGGTTTCCTCTGTCTGCTCTGCCTCCTGGGGGGGGGTGCCGCCTCTGCCTGGGGAGGAGGCAAGGGTGCCCGGCTGGGCAGCAGAAGCTGGCGGAGCCCTGAACACCCCTGCTCCCGGAGCTGCCCTTCTCTCACCTGCCGGCATTCCCTCCTCCTCCTCTGGAGCAGTGGCCCTGAGTCGCTGCAGGGTGGCTCTCTGACCGAAAGGGGGTGCGGGAGGCCAAGAGGGGCCCCAGGAACGTTCCTGCCCTGCAGGAGAGGGGGGGGGTGATCAAGAGCCGATGCTGCAGCAATGGAGCCCGGGGCCGCATCGAGGTCCTGTGAGGAGCAGCCGTGGGGCCGTGGAGGACCCGTAGGCGAATGCTTCGCTTTGGCCAGGCAGGAGGGCCCTGGCAGCGCTGGCCAGGGTGCTCTCAGGAGTGTATGTGTGTGGAGTGGCTCAACCGGAAGCAGGACTGGGCCCTGGGCCGGAGGGAGAGGTGGAGGAACTGGCCGTGACGGCGATGGTGCAGAGGTGGCAGGTAACAGGGGTGGCCAGGGAGCTTTGACCCCTTGCTGTGGCCGTGCATGGGATGCCCTTGGGAAGGAGGGAGCCCTTCAGCCTTGCTTGTCTGAGGCTGAAGCCCAGGGGTGTGAGAGAGGGCAGCGTGCTCGGTGAGGCCGGGGGGAGCCTCGGTGGAGCTTCTGCTGTATGTAGGTCGGAGTGACCTACAGCTGACACTCCCCCAGAGGAACCAAGGAAGCCTGGTGGAAGATCTGCTGGGGATCAGCCCGGCTGCTGCTCAGCCCCTTCAGCCCAAGAAGGGACTTGGCCAAGAGGTCTCCTGATTGCAAAGGACCCTCACCACCTTCAGCTGAAGGAGCCCAGACAGCACCAGATCCTCCTTGCGGGAGCCGAGCCTCGTCTCCTGTGGCTACAGTGAATTTCTCTTAAAAAGTCAAGTTTTAGAAAAAGTGGAATGTGTTTGGTTGTTGTCGGTTTTTTGGGCTCTTTGGCCGTGTTCTGGAGGTTTTTCTTCCTAATGTTTCGCCAGTCTCTGTGGCCAGCATCTTCAGAGGACAGGAGTCTCAGATAAGAGTTCTAATTCCTGTGAAGGTGCTGGCCACAGAGACTGGCGAAACGTTAGGAAGAAGAACCTCCAAACAGCCCAAAAAACCATTGGATCACGTCTGGGAAAGCCTTCGAGCATACATTGAGATGTATTTCCTAGAAATGAATTTTTGCGAATTGAAGGCAATAAATTTTTGGGAGAGATCCAGAAAGCCATGTGCTGAAGAAGAGTCGCTGCTCCTAAGGTTCCCTCAGCGAGTCTTCCTCTTGAGGAGGGGGGGAAGGAAGGAAAGGAAGGAAGAA